GAGACGATATCCTGTACATCATACCCTAGTAAGGTCCTGTACGCAAAACCCAGGGTTCCTCCCAACCAAGGCCAGGAAGAAGCCCTTCCAGCAAGATGGAGGGCCTTCACAGCAACTCCTCAAACCCTTCTGGTCTTCATAGCTCCATGTGTAAGCTCATCACCCTAGCAGAAGAGTGCCCTTGAATGCCTGGGTTTGTACAGGAGCCTAGGGAGGGATTTTCCAGAATTTCCATTTGTCATCTTTCCTTGCAGTAAACCTTTATTGCTGAGACCCTAGCAAATCACTTCCCTACTCTGACCTTCTGTGTCTGTCTCCAACAGATAAAAAGTAGCTCCACTGAGAGGGTCAAGTGCTTGTGCATATGTAAGATAGTCTTTAAAGGGGGAGGACAGAGCAGTCTAGGTTTACAGGCTGAGCAGGACACAGGTACACAAGTACTGTACTACAAGGTAGCATGTGGTAAGGGTCATCAGGGCATAGAACGCCAAGTTAGCGGCAGAGTGTGGTTTCTTACACATGGAATGGGTTTGGAGGAGGAGCTCTGGTGCCAAGGCTCCATGGCCAGTCAGGGTGGCAGCACGTCAGGGAGGCACAGCAAGGCCTTGGTCCCGCTCCAGGGGCATTTTCCCCTCTCCAGGAGCTTCCTCCCCGCCTTCCTAAGGTCACCTGGTCAGTTGAGTATTTCACATATACCGGGTGCCCAAGTGCCAGAGAGGAAAAGCCACACGGTCTCTGCCTCCTGGGAGTTGATGGTTTGTCTGAAGATACACAGGCGAATAAGTGTTGCCAGCAAGCACGATCCCTTCCCTGGTGTCAGAGCTGGTTCCAGGAGCCCTGGGCGCTTGGGCAAGCCTTCACGTGCTTTATTTTCTAACAGAAAAGTGGACTGTGGACACTAATACCTTTCTACTCAGTAGAATGCAGTAAGTGGCTTAAGAGAGCCGAAGCTCTTTCTCACAATGTTGCTATGAGGATCCTTTGCTGGAAGAGTCAGGTCGGTCTCCCTATAGGAGGCAAGTCTGGAGCCAAACTTGAAAAAACAGTTGAGGGGTTTGGGACAATGGTACCTGTAGAGTGACCCTGGAAGCCAAAGGAGATGACCCAGTGGCTGTGCCCCAGGCAGGAATAGGACCTTTCCTGTGGCAGAGAATAGACAGTAACTTGTGAAATTGCTGTTTCCGTGTGAGAGCCTGCTAATATGCGGGACAGGGTTTTGCATATATTATCTCTAATCCTTAAAACCACTCTTCAAGGTAGACACAACCCCCACTTTACAGATGAAGAAATGAGGTTAGGAGAGGATTTGCCCAAAGCCACAAAGCTAGCTGGTGGGGGAACCAGAAGTCAGACCCACGTTTGCCTGGTTCCCTTCCAAGTGTAGGCCTGAGAAGAATTTCATGAAAGACAGAGGCTCCCACCCCAAACAAACCACGATGGACCCAGAGCTGCCAGGGCCGGGGCCCTTGCCTCCTGGGTGCCACCCGTGCACACCAACTCCCCAGCTCTTCCTGATCTGGTACAAACTCACCATTGTTCCGCTTAGCTTGTGGGTGCCCTACCCCCCTACCGCCTCCATCCCAGTTGCACTCACACCTAAAAATGATCTCCCCACCCAATCCCCACTTTTCTCTAGCAGAAGGCCCGAGACATGTATGCGGAGGAGCGGAAGAGGCAGCAGCTGGAGAGGGACCAGGCTGCAGTGACAGAGCAGCTGCTGCGCGAGGGGCTCCAGGCCGGTGGGGACGCCCAGCTCCGAAGGACACGCTTGCACAAACTCGCAGCCAGACGGGAAGAGCGGGTCCAGGGCTTCCTGCAGGCCTTGGAACTCAAGCGGGCTGACTGGCTGGCACGTCTGGGCACTGCATCAGCCTGAGTGAGGCTGGCCTCCTGCCACTTTGCCCTGCCCTCTGCCTCCAGGGCCCCACTCCCCTTTCTTTTCTTGGTGAAAGGCCCCTCCCTCCTAATGATGAATTGTGTTTCCTTTGCTTGGCAAGGGAGCCCCAGAGGCCTGGTCTGCTGGCCACAGATACACCTTTTGGACCGCCTGGCCCAGTGGCCCCTGGGGAGGGTTGAGATGAGAGTCTCCACAAGTACACTAAAGCCAGCTCCGGTCAGCAGTAGGTTTGGAGAGCAGGGAGCCCCAGGTCTTCGCTGCCTGATTCTTCTGCCTCTGCTGCTTCTGCCACCTCTACGTGTGCTCCATATGCACTTTATTTTTTCACCAGCACATCCTTTAACACACAGAATTTCAGGGCAGAGGTCTACCCAAAACCCTAGCCCTTTACCAATCCATCTTAATCTTCTACCCAATTTTCATAAAAGATTTGGCTCCACCTTGGATCCGCTGGTAAATAGCTAATAGGCAGCCAGCCTATGAGTTATTTGGGCAAGGAAGGGGAGGGAGACACAGAAAGAAAATTTGCCCATCTGCTGCTCCTCCCCCTGGGCTCTCCACCTGGGATTTGCTATTGAATCTCTACCCCCCTCCCACCGCACAGTGCTGATTGCTCACTGAAAGGCTCAGCGCCCCCAATGGCGCGCGGAAGCCAGGCGGGTGATTACAATCCAATTACCTATTGTCGACTCAGCCCACACAAGCTTTTCTCCTCCTCTTGCGGGGCATGGGGCCAGGCTCCACGCCCCTGAGAGACCGCCCCGTCCATGACTACGGGGTAACAGAAGGGCCCATAGGCCCTGGTGAGTCCGCTCCACCACAGGCCTCCTTCCCTGGAACACGTCACAGGACCCAGAACGTAGAAACAAGCACTTCTCCCAACTGACTGCTGTCCTCACCATCTCAGACTCTTGCCTCCTGCCGCCTGTCTCTGAGGCTTCTCCGTTGTTGACCCGGCCCCCAGTAGCCCCTGAGACGATTTATTCTCAGCATGGCGGAGTCTCACCCTGTCAGGGCCAACGCTGTCCAGCAGGGAGAGGAGGGCCAAGTTGAGGACTGTGTCCTGCCCCTTACATCTCCCGGCCAGGCCTTGCTGCAGAGCTGCTGAGAGGATTAGTGCCTTTGTAGAGCTGTCTGCCTGAGCAGCTCCACTTCAGGTGCCGGGAGCAGCAAGCACCAGCCTTTCACACCAGCCAAACACCACCGCTCTGTTCAGTCTCCCCGCTTTACTTTCTGCAAACTGTTTCCCCAGCACCTCCCTCTAGGGGAGCGGTGGGGTCTTGCAAGCAGTGCTCCTAGCAGTCTTGAAACACCTAACTTCCCTATATTCCAGTCTCCTCTTCCCCTTCCTGTGCCAGGATACCTGGCACAAGAGACCCTTAGCCATCATCCCTGCTCCCAGAAGTAGGCAGAAATGCCAGACACTGCGACTGAGAAGCCAATCAATGCACCCTTTGGCAAGCCCCCTACACACACCTGGCATTCCCCACAACCAGTCCCTGGCACAGGGCTCCCTGAGAGCAGGTGCCGTACATTTTCCAGCTTTACAATGGGGCTGTTGACAGCCTTAATTAGGGAGGCATGAATTATGCGGCTATAATGCAGAGCCCTACAATTAAGGCGGGAATGAGGGGCTGGAGGCAACAAACGGAATCTGCCCAGTGAGCCTGACTATTGAGTCCTGTCTCCGAACTTGTCTGACTTTCCCTAATATGACTGGGGTACAGCAGAGATGAATGAAGCTGATGTCTCTGGGTTTAGGTCCTGTATTCTAGGGGTAAGGTACACAGAGTGGGACAGGCAGGGGCTGAGGGACCACTACTGCCGAGGTGCAGAAGCTGCAGATAAGAACTCCTTGCTTCCTACCCGCAGGATTTGTACAAACGGCTCAATCCTTGCCTCAAGAAAGGAGGTGGGACCTATGTAAATATCCCCTCACCTGTGAGCTAGTCCCCCACTTGAGGATATTTATTGTGTTCTTGTGTTCTCCTGGGTTTCAAATAGAATTTTAAAAATTCTTTCTTAGATGTAAAACTTGTCTCCAAACAGTACAACAGAAGAACACCTGGTTTTGCCGCTGCAATTGCCTGCCCTCTCTCAGGTGCGCTTGGCTACCTCCAGGATCCCCAGCTTTGGGCGGCATGCGAGGTGGGGGAGCCAGTGGAAGAGCCCTTTTGCCATTGCAACACCTGTTCCTTTACTTGTTTCCTAATCCCCGGTCGCTATCGTCCACCCTCCTTGTCCTCCCGCAAGTGAGAGGAAGCCAGCCTGCCAGTGTGGAAAGGAGGGATTTCGCCAGCTGCCTTTGCAGCGCCCAGGCTTGGTGGCCGCGTCGGGTGGGGGCAGCTGAGCTTGATGTCTCCTGAGCGGGTGGAGCGTAGGGGGAAGGGAGTGCTAGTAGGCCTAGGCGGCTGCTCTCCATCATTCTGTGGCGGGGTTCCGAGGTGCGGGAATACAGGGACCTAAGGGAGCCACTCGACAGGCTTTGGGGGGGGGGCTTCGTTGGCATTTGGGGAGGCGGCTGGGAAACGGGTGCTGAAAGGACAGCTCCTACCTGCCCCACAGCACCCGAAGGGGACCTCTGCGTGTAAAGTCTCCCCCCTCGAGCCCCCACCCCACCTCGAGCGGACCGCCTTCCAGGTGAAGAGCACGAAAGGATTCCTCGGAGTGGCAGCTTGGAAGGATGCACGTCCGGCTGCGCCAAGCTGGCTTCCCCGCTCTTTCCCCACTTCAGCGTCAGCCTTGGCCCTGGGAATTGGAGCCTGTGCCTCCAAGCCGCGCGCTTCCTCCCGCCTCCGGCGGCGAAGGGCGGTGCGGCCAGGCCTTGCAAACCCTTCTTCGGGGGCCCCCAGCGGGAACAGGAAGGAAAGCGGCCGAGATGCGCCCTAAGTGTCGCATGGCTTGGAGAAGTGGGTAGCTGGGTTGCATAAGGTGGAAGGAACTTGGTAGTTTGCAAAAGCCAGTGCTTGGCGGGAGCTGTAACGCAGAACCCGCCGAATCGCACACCCCCTCCTCGTTTACTGCCTTCGACGCGCGCCTCCCCCACTGCGCCCCCACCCCCTAGGCGCGCCGCCGTCTCGCGCGCCCTGCCCCCCGTACCCCCCTCCTCACTCCCTCCAGAGGAGGTGAGTTTAAACCCCGCCCACGTGACCCCAGCTGGGCCAATGAGCGGCGGCGGGAGGTGAAATCCGGTTCTAACCGGTCCGGGGCTCCCAGCGCTATAAAAACTTTATAAACCCCCCGGAGCCCGAGCAGTGTGAAGAAGAGGCGAGAACGACCCCCGGACCGGCCAAAGCCCGCGCGCCGCTGCATCCCCGCGTCCAGCGCTTACGTCCCGCCGCCGTCGCCACCATGCCCAAGAGAAAGGTACGTGGCGCGAGGGCCCCAGGCGCTGGGCCGCCACTGCCGCCGCCGCTACCGCTGCTGCTGCCGCCGCCGCTTCCCCGGCTTCGGGGCGCGAGAATCGGCGCCGGGCTGGAGCAGGGTCGGACGCCTTGCACAGGAGCTCGAGACGGTGTCAGGCTGCCCCGGGCTAACCCTGCGCGGCTCGGCTGCCCGCGGGCGCCAGAGGCCATATTGGAGGAGCGGCGGCCGCGGCGGGAGGAGCCATGTTGGCGGCTGTTTATCCCGCTCCCCTCGGGTTCGCCGTGCCCGCCCCGCGCCCCCTCCCCCATCGCCATGCCCCTTCCCCTCCCCGCGGGCGGGCAATTCAAACCCGAAAGGGCGGGAAGGCGGCGCTCGGGCTTGGCGGGCGGGGGAGCGCGCTGCCGCCAAAAAACCGCCGCCGTGAGGGGGCGGGGCCCGTGTCCCTTGGGGCGGGGCTTCGCTGTGTGGCCCCGCCTCCGCCCACGGCCCCGGCGCACGAGACTCGCGCCGGTGCGCGCCGCTGCCGCCCACGAGTTCCCCCGGCTGCGCGCGCCTCCAGTCTCCCGCCCTCGACGGCTGCCATGGTAACGGCGCCCGGGCCCCGCCTCCGGAGGGGTTTGTTTGCACCATCTGCAGCTGTTGCTTCTGCTTGGCGCCGCGGCGCGGGCTGCGCTCCTCCAAGCTCCGAGCTCCAGTTTAGCGCGCGCTGCACGGGGAGGCTCGGCGGTGGCTCCAGGCCGGCTGGGGCTCGGACACCCGCTTTTCCTGCGCGCTTTGCGCCATCTCGGGCGTGATGCTTGCACAGAGGAGCAGTCAGATTGCTGAGCATTCAGGGCATTTTCATAGGAGCTGGGGATGCTAAAACCGGAAGATTTGTATGTCTTGGAAAAGTTGTGTGCAAGAATTCCCCCTTCAGTTTTTTTCCTTAGGACTGTTATGCTTAGTGAGTCTGTAAGCATTGCCTTCGAAGCTACAACTTTCTTAGGTTTTGTTTGTCTTTTACAGGCTGAGGGGGATGCTAAAGGAGATAAAGCCAAGGTGAAGGACGAGGTGAGTCTTAAACAGCTTTGGGACTCCTTTGCTGGTAATTAATCACACCTCTAGTCCGGAATTTCCCTATGCTCTCTGCACTTCCTGTAGTCTAGACCAGACTGATAACAAAATTTTTTACCTTTTGGTTTTTCTTAACTGTCCTATTTCTAATTTTTTTTTCTTTTAATAGCCACAGAGAAGATCTGCAAGGTTATCTGCTGTAAGTGTCTGCTATTAAACTATGTTTATCCCTGAAACTAAAAAGTATTAAAAATTCCCTTTGTTTCCCGTGGGTTATAGTTAGTGGCAGCTTTTGAATGATCTACTCTCTTGTGGGCTCTCACCTGATTGATAATTGTGGTTCTGAAATTCAGGTTGCTTGTAGCCAAAGTGGGACACCTTGGCATGTTACTTAAATGGGTTCCTGGAGATAGGAAACTCCTAACGGAAAGTCAACCCCAGAGGCTTTAGGAAATAAGAGAAACTTCTGTGCTGGTGGTACTGTGGTTTGGTGGTAGATTGTTTCTTTGGCCCATCATACTAATATTCTATTTTTCTTTTCCTGAAATAAAAGAAACCTGCTCCTCCAAAGCCAGAGCCCAAGCCTAAAAAGGCCCCAGCAAAGGTGAGTGGAACTGAAAGACTAGGACGCTCCTCGGAGTTGCTGCGGCTTCCCACATTGCTGGCAGTTCTGCTGTCTAACAGTTTCATCCATTGACACAGACTTGATATGAGAAAGTTATTTGAACTAGGCCTTAAAAATTATGTTGGAATTGGTCATTTTCGCAGGATGAGGCCTGTCCTTCAGTGTCCTAATTCAGCAGACTGATGACCCCGTTAATGGACATTCTAACTTTTTTTTTTTAAGATTTTATTTATTTATTTGACATCACAAGCAGAGAGAGAGGGGGAAGCAGGCTCCCTGCTGAGCAGAGAGCCCGATGCGAGGCTCAATCCCAGGATCCTGGGATCATGACCCGAGCTGAAGGCAGAGGCTTTAACCCACTGAGCCACCCAGGCGCCCCTCTCACTTGTCTTGATAGCTTCCCTTATTTATCCTTGACATTTTGTAGTACTGGTTTTCTAATCAAGAACTCTATCAAGGTAAAAAATAATTGGGCAACAGGGTTCTGGGCAGGGGAGTCCACAGTTTACAAGAGATTGTACATATTAAACTCAAGTATTCAAGGCACTGTTTCTTCTATTTTTTACACTCAAATAAAAACTTGTATACTGAAGACCACAGCAAATGATAATTTGGTCTTGTTTTGATCCATTTTTATCAATGGGGGAGGGTTGAGGGTTTATAGTCTGTGGGTGTGTTATCTTTGATAAACCTGTGTCGTACAGAACCTTGCAGACCATACCCTGCTCAGGCGAAATTTGAGGAAACTGCTCTTTTTTTTTTTTTTTTTTTTTTTTTTTCTCTTTTCTCCCTTCTCCTTTTTAGAAGGGAGAGAAGGTACCCAAAGGGAAAAAGGGGAAAGCTGATGCCAGCAAGGATGGGAATAACCCTGCAGAAAACGGAGATGCCAAAACAGACCAGGTACAACTGCTGTCCCGACTTTTTGTGGAGCCGGCTCTGAGTCAGTTACCAATCCCAGAAGTTTCTATTATCTTTCTCCTGTTCCTGTATCGCCCCAAGTGTGCTTTTCAGCCCAGAGTTTGCTTATGGTTTTTCCATTAGCTTACATTCTGGATTCCTAAAGTCTGTGCTGTCCAATAATGGGCACTGTAGTGTGAGCTCCGTGTTCTGAGCTCATGCTACACCATAGTGTTTTCAAGCTGAGGATAAACTCCTCTTCTGATGCAAATGTGACCCCTTCCCCAGTTGTCCAGTGAGGTCCAGAGGGAAGGTTACCAAGCTCTCCTCAAAACAAGGACTGAGTCTGGAAGGATCTAAAATCCGAACTTGGGTGTGGGCGCAGTTGTAGTGCTAGGGATGGGATGTGAATGAAAATCGTGTCAAATCTGTAGGTGGTGACATTGTATTGATCTTCTTCTTCTAGGCACAGAAAGCTGAAGGTGCTGGAGATGCCAAGTGAAGGGTGTGCATTTTTGATAACTGTGTACTTCTGGTGACTGTACAGTTTGAAATACTATTTTTTATCAAGTTTTATAAAAATGCAGAATTTTGTTTTACTTTTTTTTTTTTTTTTTTAAAGCTATGTTGTTAGCACACAGAACACTTCATTGTTGTTTTGGGGGAAGGGCATATGTCACTAATAGAATATCTCTGAAGCTAGATTGACACAAGGGGAAAAACACCTTTCCCTCCTAGTTTTGAGAAACTTCCTCTTGGCTCCCAGGAGGAGGGGTTCCTTGACGTTGACACACATGAGCCGCCTGGGTACAAATCCCTTGGTGGCGTGGAAGAAAACTAAAATTGAGTTTTTATGTCCTCTTCTCCCCCTCTGCCTTCAACATAGACTTGACTCCCTTAAACCCAGAGACCTACCTGTTGGAACCTGACCCCCAAGACATGGTTCCCAGTATGTCAGGCAATCTGGACTTGACAAAGTGTCACCACTGAGATGGCGTCCCTCAAAAGAGTTCCTTTTTTAGCTCGTGGATCTTCAGATGGATAATCCTGCCATTTTCATTTCATTTCCTGAAAGTCAGGGTCGGCTTGTGAAAAGTTGTTAAACAACATGCTAAATGTGAACTGTCCGCCCTCACTCTAAACTTCCCTGCTCTGAGCATCACATGAAGACTGCATTGGGTTTTATAGTGGCTTTCTGATTTTGGTAGTCCATTGAAGAAGGGAGTTTGAAAGTTGTTGTATACTGTTAACGATTGTCTGCCCATGTCCTGCCTGAAATACCATGATTGTTTATGAAAAGTATCTTTAATAAAGCTGGATACAGTTTGGCTTGGAATGCTGCCTCTAATCTTTTCCCAGGAGTGGGGGAGCCTGGTTTCTCCAGGTCTCTTGGGACAGGACGCATTCTGGTGTGAGGTGTAGAGGTTTTCCGGTCCAGCCGTTCTGGTCTCGAGTCCGTCTGTAGAACACAGTGCTCAGTGCAGCTAGGAAAGATCCCTGGAGCAGACTGCTGCTGGAGGCCAGGAGCAGAGGAGTGATTTCTGTACTTGGTTGTGCAGTGTTACCTGAAGTGTATTTCTCAAGGCAGAGTTTGGGTAGGTCTGAGGTTTTGGCCTGGTAGTAGACAGCAGAAGAGCCTTTCCACTTCATTCACATTTAAAATCTCCCTAAAACTAGAAAATTAGTAGGTCCAACTATAGTCCTTGTGTCAGGAAAAAGTGCTTCTGTGTCTATACAATCGGCTATAGACGTGTAAGACCGACGGGCACTCTTCTTAAAACAGACGCGCAGGTCTTCTGTGAATTGATTACATTCTTGTCCTTGCTCGTGAACTCTAACTGCAAACCAGAGCTGTTAATGGGGACTCTGATTGCTTCCGTTTAGAGACCCTGCAGTGAACCCCCTTTCCTCCAGAGGAAAGAGCAAGAAGTTAGCTCTTGGGAAATAGAGCTTATAATAAATTGACGCTCGCAATTGGAATGTGCTTTCACAAGTCACCTCTATCGTTTGGGAGAAATAAAGCAAAGTAGAGATTTAAAAAAAAAAAAATACATTGCTTTGTTTATCCCCTTGGAAAGGTAGCACTATTCTATGAAGCACTTGATCATTTTCTGGTGCGTTATCTCTAGTCTTCGGTTTTGGGACAATTGTGTAACGCCAAGTGTTAACGCCCTTTTTATGAGTGAGGAAATGAGCTCAGATGAAGAAACTGGTTCAGGGTCCTGTCTGTGTACAAGAGTGAGTCGCAAAGTCAGGGTTCAGACTCCCAGCTTTATTCAAAAATAACCTCTGACTTCTGTTCGGGGGCACCTTTTGGATAATTTTGTCCACTTAGGCAACTTGCAACCACTTGCTTTCTCCATTGCTGAAATCGTTCTAGGTTGTACACCTAGTTTTTACTCCGAGGGAGGTGTCCTCTGTGGAGGGGACATTACTGCTGTCAGGGAGACAGCAGCTTGGTATTGGAGCAGAAGTTGCAGAGTTGGAGGAAGCCACAGCCGGGGTTGCTTTAGTGTTTGTGGGACTTCAGATTCAGTCAGATGTGTTCAGCTGTGGACCGTGCTGGGACCTCAGCCCAAGCCTCTTAATTTTTGTGTCAAAAATTCGGTGTTTAGCCCCATTTTACAGTTAAAACGCGAAGTGACTGGCTGACGTTAAACCCAGTAGTAATCCTCTATTCCTGTTCCTTAGGAATTAGGATGAGTAGGGTGAGCTTGAACTTTGTTTTTCCTTCACGGGAAATATTTGCTGAGTGGACTAGCCCTGGACCATGAGAGTATCTGGGCTTACAGACCAGGAACCCAATCTTGAGAACACATGGTGCAGCTGTTTCAGCCAGTTGTAATCAGGCTCGTGCCAGCCCTGTCCCTGTCTCCAAGCCCATTTTATCCCATCTCTGGGGAGCAGTCACCATAACCTGGACTAGATAGAATGGGTGCTTTGGGCTCTAAGTAAAAGAAAATGGCTTACAAGGAGGAAGACCAATTTCCCTAAATGAAGTCCTGAGCTCGGGTAGTTCTAAGTACCCAGCTGGTTCTTTCCAATTTTTGTGCCCTGTTGGCCTTGGCATGTTGTCCAGCCACCCCATGTACCCCAAGTCAGCTGCTCCAGGCTTCAGCTCCACACTCTGGTGTCCAGAGGCAGAAGACTGGTTTCTCCTGAAGATTTCCCAGAAACCTCTCAGCAACCGGGGTTTCTTTGGGCAGACCTGGACCACCTGCCTGCCCCTAAACCAATCCTGGCGAGAGGGATGAAACCACAGATTCTGCTTCAGATTGGCCAGAGCTGCTGGAATTAACTGGGGGGCGGGAGAGAGATGACAGAAGAGGACAGGTGCCACGAGTGGCCAGCCACCACCCGGGCTCAGGGCCCGTGCTGTCTCCAGGCTTCCCCGGGACGGGCCTCACTGCAGCATTTGCTGAGCAGAAGCCCAAAGTTGAACTAGAATTTGCATTAGAAATTCACCATTTTAAAGCATGCAATTCGGTGGTTTTTAGAATATTCACAAGGTTGTGCAACAACACTATATAATTGAAGAATGTTCCATCACTCAAAAAAGAAACCCCAGACTTAGCAGTCATTCCCCGTTCCCTCTTCTGGCCTAGGCAACTGTGAATCTATTTTGTCTCTCTAGATTGGCCTATTCTGGACAATTCTATAAAGTATAGGCTTGTGACTGGCTTGGAAGCACGAGGTTCTGGAGGTTCACGGTGTTCTAGTGCGTGCTCGATCCCTTTTGTCAAATACTCCCTTTTACAGGTAAACTCTTCCGCTTTTTGAAAGTTCACATTATGCCACTTTGCTTTTACAAAAGACCTAAAAAAAAAAAAAAAATGCGAAAAAAGAGCAGCACTGAGCCATTCCTGAGTCCTTCTCCAGGCAGCGCTCCCCCCTGAGCTGTGGGGCTGGCCCCTCCAGGTTCCCTCCCCACAGTCTACACTCCAGACCAAAGCACCAGAACACCCTTGAACTGCGTGAGCATCCGTGCTGTATCGATTTATTTTGTGTATACGTTAGCAAGCATGTCCTCAGGTCTCAGACCAGCCCGAGAGGTGTTTCTGGGGTCCAGAAAAACACAAATGTGTCCATCTATATGAGTGGGGATTTGTTGGGTATGTGAGTTCACGGGGGAGCTCTGCTTCTGGATAGTGGGGCAGACCTGTACCGGAGTTTGTTTATTCATTGATCAGTTGAGGGCATTTGGGTTGTTTCCACGTTAGGGCTGTTTTGATGCCTTCTCTCCCGGGAACACACTGTTGGCATGGAGCGACGTTTTCAGCTCTTGCAGACCTATACCTTGGAGTAGGATTGCGGGGTCTTGAGGCTCCGCCACTCCCTGAGGAGCTGCGGGGCCGTGTTGGGACAGCAGCTGCACTGGGTTCCACTCCCAGAGCCCCAGTGCACGAGGGTTCCAATTTCTCCACATCTCATCAGCACGCACTTTCCCGTTTCTTTTTTTATTACAGGCATCCGAGTGGGTATGCAGTGATCTTTCAGTGCGGTATTGGTTTGTATTTTCCTCGTCCTAGGACGCCTGGTTGAGCATCTTTCCACGTTTAATGAACCTTTGTATATCATTTTTTTTTTAAGTATTCAAATCCTTTGCCTATTTTTTTGATAAGTAAACTCTATGCCTAACATGGGGCTTGAACACCCAACCCCAAGATCAAGAGGCCCACACTGAGCCTGGAGAAGACCAGAGACTGAGCCAGCCAGGCGCCCCTTTTGCTCATGTTTTAATTGGGTTATTTATCTTGTTACTGGTGCAGTGTAGGAGTTCTTTATATATTCTGGGTATTAGATTCTTACCAGATTTATGGTTGGCAGGTGTTTTCTCCCATTCTCTGTGTTTTCTTCATTTACTTGATAATGTTATTTGTCATACAACAGTTTTTAGTTTTGGTGAAGTCCGGTTTACTCAATTTTTTTATTGCTTTTTTTTATGTGTCCTGTCTAAATTCATTGCCCAGTCCAGGGTCATAAAGGTTTATACTGGTGTCTCCTAAGAGTTCTGAATAGTTAACTCTTAAATTGAGGTCTTTAAAACATTTTAAGTTAATTTTTATATACAGTGTGAGGTAAGTATTCCCCTCTTTTTAAAAACTGTTATAGACCCCTCTGGGGCCTGCCAGTTCCTAAGATACTATTTATCTGGTTGACCTCGTCTCAAGGCCCTTCTCTGCAGTTTCTCCCTGTGATGTTATCCAGTGACTTACAGTTTTCACCCCTGCCCACATCTCTCTCGAGTTCAGTATTTCCACCAAGCTCCTGTGCAGTCCCACCCTGATGGGCCGCAGGCACCCCAAGTCAGCATGACGGGGTGGGACTCCTCGTGTGCTTCACAACCCCACCTCCCTACTTTTCCTGAACTTAGTAAACCAGCACTTGTTCTATTCCTCAAGCAAGAAACCTGAAAGATAGCCCAGATACCTTCGTTCCTCCCCATCATCACAAGTTTCCAGAAACACCCTAAATCATGATGACTTGACTTTGGAAATTCTTGTTCTTCATGTCATGGAAAATTTCAGTTAGGGGCGTGTGGGCGGCTCAATCAGGCATCTGTCTCTTCGGCTCGGGTCATGATCTCAGGGTGGTGAGATGGAGCCCTGTGTCAGGACCCTCACTCAGTGGGGAGTCTGCTTCTCTCCCTCTGCCATCCCACCACGTGCACTCTCGCTCTCTTTACAATAAATCTTCCAAGAAAAAAAAAAACAAGCCTCAAATATGTGCAAAAGTAGACTGAGCAAGACCCCATGTACCTATCACATAGTTTCAGCAATTATCAACTAGTAGTTAAGTTCGCTTAATTTATACCACTGGCTCCTCTCCCTTACCATAACGTGACGCACCATTCCACCCACAAATAGGGACTTCGTAGAAAACATAATACCATTAGCATACCCAAATAACATTAATTCCTTAATATTATGAAGTCCTCAAACTCTCAAATTTCTACTTGGGTGTCTTTTTGCTTTTTATCTTAGTAATGTATTTGTTTGAGCATCTCTGTATTGCAAATGGTTGGCATATTTCTTATCTCTTGGCACCTGTAAGTTCCCTCCATCTCTCTCCCAGTCTGGATTTTGCTCTTCTGTCTCCATGGTGTCATTTCACAGGTTTCTTTATCCTTTGTATTTCCTGCTAAATAGGAGTAGATCCAGATGTGTGATTGGATTCAGATTTAGTGGTAAGAAAACCGCACAGCGGTGTGTGCTGGAGACGCATCACGCCTGGTTGTCTCTAGATACTGTGGCCCTTGAAGCTCAGTTCCTAGATTGATTAATACATCAAGTGTTGCAAAATGAGGACCCTCTAATTCTACCATCCCTTCTTCAC